TACCGAAGCACCGTGTATGACTTCGCTTCATATTTTGTTTGCATGCCAATCGGCGCTGGTTTGAGGTCAGATGTTTGCGCCCTGAGCTTCAGAGGGATCAGACGTATCGCATCCAGATGAGTCACACCTTGTGGTAGATAGGCGAAGGGTGTGCTATCGATTCAGTCGGTAAGTTGATAGGCAGCAATGCAGCGCAGGACTGAGGCAAAGCAAGCTGACTTAGAGAATACTGTCTAATGACGACAGTGGCTGTTCCAAGGGCGGAACAATTAATAACTATCGCTTTGTACAGAGACTAGAAGGAATAACAGTAAGATCTTCGGGTGACTTTCAAAAATCATTAAAATCAGACCAAAAGAGTTCTGGTGCAAGGAGAGGAAAAGTGAATTCTCCGGTTGACTTTAAAATAGCAAAAGCACAGTTTGCTAGTGATCAGCAAGCGACAGATCCAAACGATGTACAGTGGAAGGAGGAGCTCGCGGAGCCAAATCGAATGATAGTACGTAGGTCTCTGTGAGAATAAATCCGAAGATTTAAAGGTGAATAACGCAGGAGGACATTTTTTGCAACCGCTTGGTGATAACGATACCACCATTAGGAATTTCGCACTCCACAACAGCATATAAATGCTGTTAGCAAATGTCTTGCTGGATGCTGGGTTGCTCTTCGAAAGAATATATGTAGGGATCTGAGCGTTCCAATATGATTACCGCCGATATCCGTTCGCTCTCGGGAAAATTAGATGAACTAGTGTGCACCAACTTCTCCGGTGAATTTTCGCTGCTAGTTATTTCTCTTGTACAATGGAGATTACACATTTCTCCATTTCGTTACTTCTATTTACATGGAATGTGTGAAATGTCGGTAAATCGCAACGAATTAGATGTTTGCAACGTCAAACAAAGCAGACAGTGTTTTGGTAGCAGCAGGTAAAAGAAACCGGTAGAATTCAAATCTAATAATGAATACTGTCAGCCATTACTTTGTTCCACATATGAGCGTACCGGACTGTTACATTCACCACATTCTGCTTGGTGATTCATTGTGTTTTGTGGTGGCGCTGGAGTTATTACCATTGGTTGCACAAAGGTAATTGCGATGTGGTTAGGAATGGCGCACATAGTTTGCTGCAAATGGTGTGGGTGAGCAGCCTGGGATCACATCGAGCATTATGTTAATCGTCAATGTGATGGATTAGGTTCCTAGGTACAGCTGTTTTTAATCGTCTTGAGCTCTGTCTTTCCCACTGGTTGGTATCCTGGATCGATGTCTATATGCAGCTTGCGTGAGTTCGTGGTTGGGAACCAGGCTTACAGAAAGTGTATGGTATGGATGATGTGCACAGAAGCCCACAGCTTTATAAGAAAATGCCAACGATCTCTAAACGAAAATCAAGGCAATTGTTTACAAACGATGGGACAACAGCCATCTGCACAACTGCAGCTGACAATAGAGCGCAGAACAAAAAGCATTAAAGTGGAAAAGCAGACTGCTTTTCGCCAGAAGTTGATTAAAGTGACTACCATGAAAGAGGAAGGTAGGGACAACGATTGAATCGGAAATCTGTCAAGTCAACCACTTAATGATGCGGAACAACAAATTATTATCAAATGCCTAAATTATAACTACAAACACGCGACAAAACTGAGTTTCTGGCAGGATTCAGAATCGCTTTGCAGTACAACGGACTAGATTAACAAATACAGAAACAACTAAGATATTTAATCGTCCCAGCGATGACGCATATGAAACAATGTGGCCTTCTACCCGATAGGAGAAAGAAGCTATGAAACGGAACAAAGCAATTGTTACGCTACCAGCTGACAAGAGACGGATGACAGTACTTGTGTACAAGGCAGAGAACATACTGAAGCGAAGATAATATAGCCTCTGTGTTATGAATTTAATGGAATCATACACAGCTACACGGAACTTGACTGATGAATTAAGCACAAACACCAAAGGAATGCCCGACAACGATGCAACGTGAAAATATGCAAGCTCCGCTAAAACACACGCATTTAGGACGAAATTATTATAATACTTCTATTATTAACGCATTAGCATGAAACATTTGTACAAGATTATCTGATCCCTCGCGGGAACAGCTTTCATCAGGTCTAGAAATATACCTTATTTACTTATCCATTTATCTAACGACACTACAAGCTACCAATGCATTGAAAATGACCCAACAGCGCAGCTAATAAAAAAAAATAATCCAAGCCTTGACGAAGCTCAAGCTCAGAGATCACGTAAGAGCAGATAGATAGAACAAGAGCTTGTGACTCGAACATTGCGCAATTCTGTGGACTATAAAATGTACTCAAATACGGAGTACCGTAACGACAGATCATGTCACATCGGGGCAAAATCACATACAGTCTGAAAAGGAACCATGAATGTGCCTCAATCAGTAGATCGTTACTCTCCATAAACAATGTGCAACAATTCCTCACCTGGCTCAAAGATTTACGAATAGACTACGAAAATGAGATGAAGCGTCTAAAGAAATGTCACGAAACAAAGCAGAATAAGAAGTGAAGGTCCAAAAATTGAAAACTAGTACAATAATTGTTTGCCAACTAAATATTCCTTTAACATAACCAAATAGGAAGTGATACGGAGAAATACCAATGGAATGTGTTCATGCAAATGACACTGATGAAGCTGACACGGAGATGCGTGTCCATTTCCAATGACCTTTGAGTGTACCGATCGGGCTAACACAGTGGAGCGTTTAAACAACAGTCAAGAAGTGGAAAAGAGGAAGAATAAAGAGTGGTTATATAATCTCATTTACTAAAAGGAATGTCAAGTAGCTATTATCCTAACACCTCCCTCTCTTAAAAATTGCGTTACCTGGCGGTCACATTGCTTTTCCGATGCGGATCCATTTGCGTCCACTTGCATCCGCGACCATGGCGGTTTGGATTCCGGCCAAGACAGCACTGTCGTCCATACAGGTGACTTGTAACCACACGAGCATTTAGAACAGGTACGGCCAATATTGCTGAAAATGACAATTGTTTCAGAAGACTCAGCGAGTTTTGGGTAAATTTAACTTTCCAATCCAATCGGTTCCGGGCCGATTATTGTCCGTACAAAAGGCTGGGTAGATAGTTCCATGGAATTTCAGATCTTTGAGTCTGCATGCACAGGTGATTCTTTCTTTTAGCTGCAGAGGTTCTCCTGAAACATTTTGAACTATCATAATCATAATTTTGACTAATGCTGTGTCAAGTCTGGGCCTGGTCAATCGAGAAATAGTCCTGCTTGTATGCACTGTTTCTGGTTGTAGCAACACTGGAAGATTGTTGCGTTTCACAGTTGAGCGTTTTCTCTTCCTTAAAAATTCCATGCAAAGTGATGTGGAAATCGCTTTCCATTCTAAGCCAACAAACCTGGTCCTTGTGCATTTGGAGCTTGTTTACAGCTTTGGGGTAAGTAAGTGACAGAACACGTTGGACTCTTGACAATGATGAATTTTGTACACGGGAACTCTGGCAGAATGCCACATCGCACTGTTCCATGATGCAGTCGAGGTCTTCCGGTTCGGCACATCGCCATTCAACTTTTGGCCACAAATGACTGTATAACAGGACTGGGATTCTTCTCTGAGATCTGAAGCTCCAATTATTTCTGTGTCATGGTACACAGAGAGCACCGTGTGGCTTTCAGGTACATGTTCCTAGGATGTCAACTTCGGTTCCGGTCCCCAATCCACTTGAATGTGTAGCTTTGCGGATAACAACTGAATTAACTGCCGCTGTGACTTTTCACCATGAAACTGCTGCTGATGAAGGATGGAGTGCATCTGCTCGAATGAAACGGCCACGATGGTTCAACACCTTCCGTCGCAGAAAATCTGTTACGTCGCCACTGAAGCATTCACCCCAAGACTGCAAGAAGAATGCCAAAGACGAGTTGGAAAGAAAATTGTATACATGAAATCACATTTGCATATATAGTATTGAACGCAAAATTAAGTTAGGCTACTAAATTCATAATCATCAACAGCAGTACATCAGTCCTTTGAACTGTTGCTTCGCTGCCATATGACCATAAGGACCTATGAAAGAAAGAATAAGAAGAGGGAGATAAGGGGGACTTACCTGAAAACCTCAATGCCCGAAGCAAACATTCAGGTTCAAGGCGCCTACACCTTGTGTAGACAACATACCGTCACAAACAGCTGGCTATCGTGCAAAGATAAGGCGGCATCGGCGAGACAGCTTCCTTGCAGCTTTCACTGCCACGCGTCATAATCAATCATTACTCCGTAGAAAATTCAGCACCAAACACACTTTAAACAGGCAGTCCGACTAGGAGACGACGGCAGACGCGCCACTAGTGTCTAGTGCCAGCCATCTCCTGTGAAGTCTCGAGCCAAGCACAAAACGAGTCACGTGAACTCCAGCCCGGAAGGCGAGACGGACCAACGGCACCCAGTTTGGTCGTCAGTGACTTCATTTCCCGCTGTCAAGTCAACTTCTGTCCACTTCGAGCCTTGCGCCATCCTAAACATTGCAGACTAAACAAGACACTCCTAGGTAAGCGGTGATCACGCATACGTAGCCTGTGCCCAAACTAACGAAACTTATTCAGTGCAATCTGTTGTTCTAGGGAGCTAGCATGATTATCACCATCTAGTACTCGCCTACGCACACCATCGTTGCGGACACGCTGGTACCATCCGACTCTAGCAATGCTGCGCAGACAACGATGATCAAAGACTTAAAGGCGCCTCAGATCTTCAGACCGAAGGGGCCAAATCTCACTACCATACAGCAGAACGGCCCTCACTGTGGCCTTGTATACCCGGCCCTTCAGACGGAGGGAAACTCCCTTCTGTCGCCAAAGATGCCGCAGGTTCAAGAAGGTAGCTCTGGCTTTTGCAATGCGTGAGCTCATGTCAATTTCTATGCGCCCATCATTGCTGATGCAGCTGCCAAGATAAGTGATGTGAGCAGTCACCTCGAGTTCCTCGTTAGCAAGCGTCAAGGGGCATCAAATGGCTGATGGTCATGCAGCAACACTTTGCACTTTGAAGGTGCGAAGTGCATACCAAATAATGGGACCACTCTGGACAGGCTATTCAGGGTTGATTGTGCCATTGCAGCATCGTCGAAAAGCAAGACGATATCGTCCGCATAATCTAGATCAACTAACCTTTCCCCAGGAAACACTTCAACGCTTACATCGTGTGATTCCGCAAGGGAACACTCCATGATAGAATCCACGACGAAATTGAACAAAAACGGGGAAATCGGACATCCTTGACGAACGCCACTTGTGGTCGGAAAGCTATCCGGTAGGACACCGTAGACCCTGACGCGGCTTGTAGTGTTCGAGTATAGAGCACGAAAGATGTTCACATATTTCGTGGGAACACCATTCCGCGCAAGTATGTCGAACAGAATCGATCGATCGACTGAATCGAACGCACTGTTGAAATTGAGGAACACAGCTATTGTCGGTCTGCGGCGGGCGTGGCGCTGCTCTAGCACCTGGTCTATACAGCCACGTCCTGGGCGGAAACCTGCCTGCTCTTCCCTAATCCGAGATTCGCGTTCCGCACTGAGGCGACGAACGAGAATCGAGGCCAATAATTTTGTCACAACTGACGATAGGCTAATACCCCTGTGCGACTGCCATTCTTGTATATTGCCACTGTAACCGATTCGCTCCAATTAGCCGGGACACTCTCTTCCCTCTAGATACATTCGAATAGGGAGGTCAGTGCTTTGCAGAGGACCTCACCACCATCCTTAACTAGTGCATGTGGGAGGGAATCCGGGCCAGCGGCACGAAAAAGTTTGAGGGATGTGATCGCGTTTCGGACCTCGGCTGCAGACGTAGGCTCTAAACTAACCGTCCATGACACGTCCTGCATCACCTGAGTAGGAAGATGTCCGGGAGTAGGGGGCCAACTAAACTGAACTTGAAAGTGATCCGCCCCACGAGCCATAGGGCGCTCCTTATTGTGTATCAGTGCACCCACGCTCTGTCTGATTGTCACACTGACGCCTGGTTTTCTGGGACTAGTGGTGCAGAGTAGCTGGAAGAGCTCGCGCTAATTGCTTACTGCTCCTGTCTCCTACATTTATTGAGCCCTACTGGTCCACCAGGCTTCCTTGTCAGCACGTTGGCTCTAATTTAGTTCACGCCTAATAGCCCGTCTGGTCACATTGTGTTCAGAGACAGCCGGAGGGTGTCTTCTAGATTCCAACAGGTTCACCGACCTCTCGGATATCCAGTGACTGGTGCGGTGACGATTGACACTGCCACGAGCAGATGATCCTGCGTCATGCATGGCGGCCGAGATCCTATTCCTCTGGAGCTCAGTGTAATTAGGACAATACAGCGGAAGTTCGGTTTGCAGTGCTTCGTGATAAGCTTGCCTGACCAAGGACTGAGACAATTTCTCCGTTGCCAATCGTAGGGGACGCTTGGTGGGCCTCCCAGTAAAGTTCATGGAGAAACGACAGCGTACCAGGGCATGATCAGAGTTGACACAGGTGCTCCAGTACGAGCGACGATCCAGGATGGAACCACGCCATCTGTAACTTATGGTTATGTGGTCAATTTGGGTCCATCGCTGTGCCAAATTAGGGCCAAGTGGCACTTCGGCGTCCACTGTGTCTAAAAGCAGTGCTACTAAGAAACAACTGGTGCTCCGCACACAGTTGCAGCAGACGCTCACTGTTGTCAGTCTGTTCGGAGTTAAGTCCACAATTACCACCCAGCTGAGCCTCTGAAGAGCTCAGACGCCCTAGTTGTGCGTTCATATCCCCTGCAAGTACTATAATATCTGAACTAGTAGCACTGCGTAGTAGCGCATTCAGTTCAGGATAGAATGTGTCCTTGACAACATTAGAACTGCAGTCGGTGGGAGCGTAAGCAGAAATCACAAATAAACAGCGTTTTGTACTACTTCGTGAATCAACCTTAGCTGACGTCATCATACGGGCTGCACATAAACGGCTGTTCACCGGAATCCAATCAACCAACCAATCAACCAACTTCACCAGCTTGACACGTGAGTGCTGCATCGGCGTCTCCGGATGCGTGCAACCAATAACGAGAGGATAAGCCGGGTGCAGTCAATTCAATAACCCGTTAGGGTCATTGATCCTAGTTTCGGACACACAACAAACATCAGTACCCAGTGTGTCCAAGGTGCGTGCGAGTGCAGCCTGTTGACCTGTTTGTCTTAGAGTACGAACATTGAATGTCGCCATGGAAACGGGATAGCGTGGCCTTATAAGGGACTTATGCTGATAGGCGTCCGATAGGTGCGGTGGGATGGTGACTGCAGACGGTTCTACTCCAGTGGCACTTCTGTTGCTGTCAATTAAACTGAGAATTATAGAAGGAAGGTTATTCATGTTGGTCGGGATGGGAGTAAGAGAAAGGGGTGGCAGAGAAAGAAGGGAGGCGCAGGCATTAGCATGTTTTCGCTTATCTGCCCTGCTGTATGCAGCAGATAATGCGGCCCTTGATAATCTGCACGACAGCCGGTGCAGGATGAAGTTTATGTTTGGAGAAAAAGTCATGGTTGTATGTGGGCTAAAATACTTCCAGGGCGCCCAGACCTAGACAGGAGGATGATTAGGGTCCTCATCCAAAGCCTTTGGTACAAAAGCCCGTCGGCAAGGCAGCGGGGAGGTAGCAATGATTTCGTTTTTCAGGGATGGACATTATCCCATTTCGAACCACCGACCTGGAAGACCAGGAGACTGAGTTCGTCTGACCTCTTACCTTTGACCAACCTAGTAGGAGTAGCTCTCAGGGTGCGCGGAGGCATCACCCAATATAGTTCAATGAGTCAATGAGGTACGCAAACCGTCGCACCACGTTAACGTCCAGTCTCGTTGCGACGGAGCTACTAAATTACACTTGAGCCAACCAACAGAAGGAAAATGCCAAATGCAACGGGCGCATTAGCATACGTGTAACCAAGGGCGAGTCACGTAGGTCCTAAAAAGTAGCATCACGGGACCAAAAGCGTAAAGCGAACTTCCGTTTACAGCAACGGGCAATGGCCAATCAGAATAACGAAATGTAGCGTTTAAACAAATGCTACGAAACAACCGAGAATAAGAGGTGCAGATTCAAAAATGGAAAACTAGTACAATAATATGTTTGCCAACTAAATATTCCTTTAACATAACCAAATAGGAAGTGATACGGAGAAAGCCCAATGGAATGTGTTCTTGCAACTGGCACTGCCGATGCTGACACGAAGATTAGCGTCCATTAACTATAGCAGGTTAACAAAGTGGAGCGTATAAACAACAGCCAATATGTGGAAAACTGTAAGAATAAAGAATGGCTATTATGTTCACCAAAAATGAATGTCAGATATCTATTCTCCTAACATGTTTAAAGGAAATGGTATATAGGAGGAAATTATTAACAAGTGAATGGTGCATCTATAGGGTCCCCAATTTACTGACTCATTACGGACATTGTCCTGGAATATTTGGGAGAAAGTCTACTACCAAGTATAAATCCTAAACTTTGGGTTGGTTACGTTGTTGTTACGTTGCTGATACACAAATATAATGAAGTATCGGTTCACAACGAATATTTAACGACGCAATGGACGGCATCGAGTTTACCATATAATCAGAGAAAGAAATAGGCTCTGTTTGCTGCATGTGTTTGTAACCCGAACAATAGACGGCGAATTGCAAACATCAGCTCAGAGATAAAGCACGCACACCGATCAGATTCTGAGCTTCAACAACAACCATCCTAGAGATCACAAAGTAAGCTGTGTACAGACACTGTTTCGTAGAATATAAAATCATTGCACCACGAAGGAAGCGAAATAAGCGAAGAAAAGCACCTATTTAGGTCATTTGAACGCAACGGGTAATCATTCAGTTTTCACCGCAGGTCCTCAAACCACAAGCCCACAGAAAACAAACCTACTTCGGCGACGATGAAATGTACAGTACTGCTGTACGTAAAGGATATTGCTGTAATGACAGCCAAATTGTTTAAGCAACACCAAATCTTGGTATCCCACAAGCCAAAAGCCACCCTGAGGAAAACATTGGCAAGACCAAAAGGATAACGAGAAAAGCAAGTGTGACAGAATGTCGTTTTAGACTAAATTGCGGAAATTGTGAAAAGCACTATTTGGGACAAACAGGAAGGAAATTGTCAACAAGAATACAAGCGCCAAAGAGGGCGTGCACGAAACATTTTCTCACTTCAATTGTTTCAGCGAACTTGGATGGAGGACACATCTTCGACTCTAACAAATTTGAAATCCTGACATAAGGAGAAACTCCCAAATTGAGGGAGTATCTCGAAGCCGTGTTCTCAACCACGAACTCAAACAATCGGCTATCGACATCGATTCAGGATACCAACCAGTGAGACGGAAAAAGCCCAAGCAGGTTAAAAACGGCTGTTCGTAAGAAACTAATCCATCACATTGAGAATGAACATAATGTTCGATGTGATCCCAGACTGCTCACCCACGCCCTTTGCAGCAATCTAAGTACGCCATTCCCAAGCACCTCGCAACAACCTTTGCGCAACCAATGTTAATGACTTCAATGCCACCACAAAACACAATGAACCACCATGCAGAACGAGGTGAAGGTAATAGCCCCGTAGGCTCATATGAACAATGAACAATGAACCAGGATTTATCATGGGTAAAAAAGCTTGTGCTTGACAAATCCCGTAGGATGGATGGAGTAAACATTAAAATTTGAAGGATCATCAAATAAGTAAATGCTTATTTCAAGCGTTCACCGAGTTAATTGCATTACTGCATAACGATAGTTTGAAGTGGGAATGGGATGTGCACACGCAAAATATTATAGAGAGCTGTTAAATTTGAGTAAGTGTGTGAGAAATAAAAAAGGAAACGACGACGGTCACTCGTTTGTTTCTTCATTTGACAGACGTGATAGGTTAATCCAGTTTAGCTACATCCAGGCTAATCACATAGACACTTCTGCATGTATCCTGACCGCCAAGTTATAGAGAGGGTTGTTAAGCACATGGTTAGGTTTGCGTTGTTTCGTCCTCCAAGTGGAACGGACTATTTCAACTAATGCAAGTTTGAAAGCGTTTCATCAAGGCATTTTTCGAAAAGTGTTAAAGTAGGGGCAAGGATAACGTGAGTCGGAAGGGCATTCCAGGCACGGGACACACGGAGGGAGAAAACGTTTCGTCGACAATCAAGTCGACTGTAGTGCGCAGCCAGTTGGAGCTGATGGCTCTCAGGTTGGTATGTTGGCTCAGCTGCAACAGATTGCAGCATGCGTGAGTTGGGTTCGTTAGTATTAAGTAAACCATCATTAGGTCTAATCGCTGACGTCGATATTCACCACTGTACACTCTCAGGGACTGCAGTCTGTGTTGATAGGAGTGGTGAAAGAATCCTCTAAAGAGTTTGGTCGCTATATGTTGTGGAGCTTCAAGTGCATTGACGTCGCGCCTGCGCCAAGGACGCCAGGCATGGATCGCATATTCCACGTGAGGCCTCACGAAGGTGTTCAGGATTTGTGGAACGATTGATGGCTCAACATTGACGAAAGCCCTCCCTAAGAGTCCAAGATGTTGACTGGCTCCTTTTGATGCCTTTTCAGCCTGTCTTTTACAAACAAGGTCGTCCTGCACGATCACCCTGAATTCGTTTTCTTTGGAAGGACGTTGTAACTGCTGTCCCCCAAGTCGATATGCATAGATAAGCTGATGGCGTATGCTTACGACGTTGCACTTGGTCACGTTGAACTGGAGCCGGTTGTCGGATGACCACGCATAAGTCCTGTCGAGATCGCTCTGCAATGCCATGTGATCATTCGATGTCCTGATATCATGCCAAATTTTGATATCATCTGCAAATAGTAAGAAATTCGACTGCAGTACACTGCCAAGATCGTTAATGAATGTGAGGAATAAGCGTGGCCCCAGTACCGGTCCTTGAGGAACGCCACACTCGACGTCAACTGGGTCGGAAATGGAGCTGCGGACTCTCACATTCAGCTGACGTTGAGCGAGGAAGTTGCCTATCCAACCGGGTATAGGGTTACCGATTCCATAGCTTCGAAGCTTTTGCAGGGGAATGCGGTATTCCAAACGATCGAACGCTTTCGAGAAGTCCAGGTAGACAACGTCGACTCCCACTCTGGCATCGGCTGACTCTGTCCAGTTTGCTCGGGCTAGCAGCAAGTTTGTAGTGCAGGATCGATTTCGGCGGAATCCGTGTTGCTGTGACACTAGGATGTTGTTGCTCTCAAGATATCCCATGAGCGCCTCTGCAATTATGCGTTCCATTACTTTGGATAAAACTAGGAGGAGAGTGATTGGACGGTAGTTCGAGGGCTCCGAACGATGAGCACTTTTGTAAATAGGAGTGACTAGTCCATGTTTCCACATTGTCGGAACCTGCATTTCGTCGAGACAAAGTTAAAAGAACCGAGCTAATGGTTCGGCAAGGTTCAT